GGCGGCCAGGACCGTTGGGGGCGGGGTGTGTGGCCTTATGACACACTTCCGGTGATGTCAGGGGGTGTGGCATATGCTAATGAGTTATGCTAATGAGTTTCCTTAGCTCTTTTTCTACGAAACGACCCCTGGGTACACTGCCCCTATTCCTGGAGGTTCTGTCTGACTATGATGCCTGCTAAGAGGCCTCATCTCCACAAATTTGCCTGCGGTCTGGGCAGTACATACAGACTCCTCTTGGTATTGTCTGTTTCTCTTGACAGGAGGACACAACGTCTGAAAGGAACACAATGGCTCTGGGTGGGATCAGGAGGCACTAGTCCTTTCTCCTGAGGAGAGCGCTCTCTCTCTCTCTCTCTCTCTCTCTCTCTCTCTCAGCTCTGTATAAACGTACTTGGACTCTGTTGCTGTTCCAGTGGGACATGTAATGCCCAGGTGTCAGTCGGGTTTAAGTGGTCGGCTGTGATTCCTCACTGCCTGCAGGCCACCCAAGAGGCTCAGGGGTTGTGTGTTTTGTTGACCGCAGAAGGCGGGACTACGGCTCCCCTCTTCTTTATTGGAACAGGGTGTGTGCATTCAGCCATGCAAGTGTAAATATGACCTCTGGTTTTCAATTTGGGATGGCTTTTCTGTGCAAGTCCCAGAGAAGCCTGCCCCTGCCCCGAAGGTGTGGGGGGGAATGAGCGGCAGCGAATTCTTGACGTTTGAGGAGAACCGTCTCTTGTTTTTTTTCACGTCTAGATGAGCTTATAGCCAGTGGTGAAGCCGGGACCTTCGACTTTGCCTTCATAGACGCCGACAAGGAAAGTTACAACGATTACTACGAAAAATGTCTACGGCTCATAAGGAAAGGGGGAATAATAGCGATTGATAACGTGAGTCTGACTGTGTTGTTTGCTTAATTGCCTGTCTGCGAAAACTGTGATTTGGCTTTTCTCCCCCCCCCCCCCCAGGAATGGAAAACAACGCCCAGTAGCCGGTCCCTCAAAAAATAATGTGGTTCTACTACATATGCCAATATGCTGAGAACCAGACTAGGGGGGTGGAAAGCAGGATGGGAGTGGCTCATCACCAATAGTTAAAAATTCCCGACATTTGTTGGAAAACAGTGAGAACTTCAGGCTCTCCCCGAATCACAGAGGACCAGGGAATTTGCATGCATACTATTCTCTTACTGCCTGACATCATTGCAATGGAAAAGTTGCCGGGGTGGTGGTAGAGAACTGAGCACTGCTCTTTCAGTTCCTCTCCTTTACCTCTAAAGTTGTTCTACATATCCCCATTTGTTATAGATTTGACAGACTAACAATCAATGTTCCCTCTAAGCCGAGTTAGTGTGAGCCAGCGCAGTTTTTTAGCCTCCAGCTCACACCTTTTTGTCTCGGCGCAGGAAGGAGCAAACTAATTGATGCAGTCGCCAAACCGCTCGCTTCATACCAGACGTATTTATGCCAGCCTAGCATAAGGTTGTGTCCTTCCAGAATAAGTAGTCTGGTATCTTCTAGTGTGATCCAGTCTTTTATCCATGTCAGTGCTGCCGCTTTGTAATATAGTTCCCAATTTGGGACTCCAAACCCTCCTACTTCTTTCTGATCCTGCATGTATTTCCGGTTAATTCTTGGTTTTTTATTATTCCAAATAAATCTACTACATATATTCTCAAATTCTTTAAAATACTTAAATTTTCTTAAAACTGGAATATTTTGGGCTAGAAAAATAAATTTGGGCAGCACGTTCATTTTAATTGTCGCAATCCTTCCCATCAATGAGATCTTTAGTTCTTTCCATCTTTCTAGATCTTGTTTAACTTCTCTTAATAATCTATTATAGTTATCTTCTATCAAGGTGCAGTTTCGATTTGAGATTGTAATTCCTAGATATTTCATCTTTTTAGTTGTTTGCATTCTGGATATTTCTTGGATCTCGTCTTTTAGCCTATGTGAGCAATTTTTTGTTATTATTTTTGTTTTTGAAAAGTTTATTCGGAGGCCAGCAACCTTCCCATATTCCTGAATTTCCTGGATCAGTCTCATTATCGATATCATTGGGTCTTCTAGTATGAAAGCCAAATCATCTGCGTAGGCTTGTAATTTGTATTCTTCTCCTCTAATTCGGAGTCCTTTAATTCCTCTATTTTCCTTCCTTCTGTTCTACCTCCAAAATAGGTGCTGTGGCATGGAAGGGTGCTGAACCCCAGAAAAGACGATTTGGAAACGCAGAGCATCCACCACTTGAACGAAAAGATCTTCCGCGACCCACGTGTGAACATCAGCATGATGCCCTTGGGGGACGGGGTGACCTTCGCATTTAAGCTCTAAAAGCGGGAGACGGGAGCCCGGAAGGAGGAGATGTGAAATGTATATTTTGACTTTCTCCCAGTAAAATAGCCAAAGCTGGGAGTCCAGCTATAACCAGAGGCTGAGCCAACCCACGTGGATTGCTTGTGGGGTGGAGAACGGTATCTTGCATGTCCTTAACACAAAATATAGTTTGTCATTCCCATAGAAAATCGGTCAGCAAGCTGCACAATGTGTTTTGTCAGGCCTCTTGCATTGTTTTCTACATGGGCAGCTTCAAGTCCCGTCTCTTTAACTAGCAGCCCAGTTGACTGGAGGGGCCAGGAAAGCGCGTGTGTCTCTCACTCACTCTTACTCCAGCTCACGAGCACCGAGAGAGAAAGGTGCAAGGCAGGGGGGTCCCCAACATCTTTGAGCCTGTGGGCACCTGTGGAACCCTGACACACAGAGCTGCAGGAGGCAGAACCACACACACGTGCGCCCGGAGAAAGTCCAAGGGTGGGGGAGAAGGGGGCAGTTTTAAGAATACACCGAGAAAGAGGAGTGAAAGAACAAAATCAACACCTTAAAAGGGATATTATAGCTTTGGGAAAAGTGCAGAAAAGGGCAACTCGAATGATAAAAGGGTTGGAACACTTTCCCTATGAGGAAAGGTTAAGGCGCTTCGGGCTCTTTAGCTTGGAGAAACGACAACTGAGGGGTGACATGATTGAGGTTTATAAGATTATGCATGGGATAGAGCAGGTAGAGAAAGAGGTACTTTTCTCCCTTTCTCACACTACAAGAACTCGTGGGCACTCCATGAAATTGCTGAGTGGTCGGGTTAGAACGGATAAAAGGAAGTCCTTCTTTACCCAAAGAGTGATTAACACTTGGAATTCACTGCCACAGGAAGTGGCGGCGGCTACAAGCATGGACGGCCTCAAAAGGGAATTAGATAAGCATATGGAGCAGAGGTCCATCAGTGGCTATTAGTCACAAGGTATAGATAGGGGCTCTGGGGCAAGTGATGCTCTGTCTTCTTGGTGCTTGGGGGGGTCAACAGTGGGAGGGCTTCTAGTCTCCTGGCCCCACTGGTGGACCTCCTGATGGCACCTGGTATTTCTGGCCACTGTGTGACCCAGAGTGTTGGACTGGATGGGCCTTTGACCTGATCCAACATTGGCGTCTCTTATGTTCTTATGTAACACTGCAGCAGCAGCAGCTGAGGCGCTATTTCAATCCACACAGCCAACGCCATCTTCCGTGGCCACTCAGAAGCCCTGCTGGGCAAATAACCTGACCCTCCCCCCCACACACACACACTTTCTGAAAATGCTTGGTGGGTGCCAGGAAAGGGGTCGCAGGGGGTCACAACGACACCCTCAGGCACCATGTTGGGGACCTCCGGCAGAAGGAATGGATTCTGCCTGCTGACAACACGCACAGTCCCTCTCTCGCAGGTGTTAGGCATTGTGGAGAATAAGACCAGGATGTATCTGGGACTCCATTTTGCTGCTGATTTGTGGGGCACATGCAGCTGCTGGATGACCTTGGGCAAGCCGTAGTTCTGTCAGAGCTGTTCTTGAAAAAGAGCAGTTTCTGTCAGAGCTCTCTCAGCCCCACCTACCTCACGAGGTGTCGTTTGTGGGGAGGGGAAGGGAAAGGAGTTTGTAAGCCGAGTATATGTTCCTTTCGGCTGGGAGATTATCACCAAAAGTCTTTCCCATTGTTGTTGTTCAGTCACACAGTCGAGTCCGACTCTTCGCGACCCCATGGACCAGCTCCCGCCAGGCCCTCCTGTCTTCCGCCGTCCTCTGAAGTTTGCTCAATTTCATGTTTGTTGCATCTATGACACTGTCTAACCATCTCATCCTTTGCCGTCCCCGTCTTCTTTGACCTTCAGTCTTTCCCAGCATCAGGGTCTTCTTCTCCAGTGAGGGCTCCCTTCTCATTGGGTGGCCAAAGTATTTGAGCTTCAGTTTCATTATCTGGCCTTCCAGGGAACAGTCAGGGTTGATTTCCTTTAGGATTCGTAAGCCGCTCTGAGACTCCGAGTGAAGAGCGGGGCATAAATCCAATCTCCTCTTCTTCCTCTGGGCACCTGGGGTGGGGAAGAAGGATAAGTCGTTTTACTCTCCCTCTTTCAGCCAGCTCTGCCTTAAAGGGGGCTTCGCTGTGCCTTTAAATTACTGTTTAAAGATGAAATGTTAAAGGGGGGTTGTGGTGATAAGTTTTTTTAACAATATGCCATTTTGAGGCAGCATCCTAATGTTTTAAATGAATAAATAAACTTGGGGAGAAGAAAACCACTTAACCCGCCCTGAGCCTGTTGGAGAAATGGCACATTAAAACCCTAGAAAAATTTGAATAAGAGTCTTCTCCTGCACCATAGTTCAAGCTGCTCTCCTCTTCTCTGCACGACTCAAGTCTTAGCGAGCTGCTCCGTTGTGTGTGTGTTTTTTAAAACGAAAGTGTGCGCATGCTCTGTTGGGTGCTTGTGTGCATCCGTGGAGACTTGGAAAACCCCCCACCTTTTTGCTAGGGGACATGGACGGGCGCCGGAACTACCACCAGAACTGTGATCAGACACCCGCCCTTGCCCCGCGGTTTCCGGAAACTAGTACTGCCCTGTTCCTCTAATAGAATGAGAGGCCTTTGGGGAGGGGTCGTGGCCCAGTGGTGGTAGAGCCTCTGCTTGGCATGCAGAAGGTCCCAGGTTCAATCCCTGACATCTCCAGGTAGTAGGTGATGGGAAAGACCTCTCTGCCTGAGACCCTGGAGAGCGGCTGCCAGTCTGCGCAGGTGATACAGACCTTGATGGGCCCAGGGAGGGAGCCGATCCAGTCTAAGGCAGCTTCCTGTGTTCAGTGATGGAAATGGGCCAGTGAAACCGCTGGCAGGAGGGAGGTCCGAAATATAAGATCCCACTGAGCTTTCCTTAAGGAGACAGGACGCTTTTTTCCTCCAGGCTGTTGGCAACGCTGATGAGTGGCAGGGGGGACCGAGATGTGAAAAACGGCCCAGGAGCCAGAAGGACTGTGCAGGCCCTGCAATGCTGGCCAACACCACGAGGGTCATTCGGCGGGGACATGGGCCACAGCCAAAATGGCGCCGGGCTCCAGAAGACGAGGCTTTTGCACCTTCTCCAGTTCAAATATCTCCGTCTTCAAGTCTGTTTTTCACCCAGAGGGAAGGAAGAAACCAAAGGGAGCTCTATATTTCATCCTTCTTTGGTGGTTTTCTATTTAAGAAGGCACCGCATGGAGCCTTAGAGCCCTCCGATCGAAATCCAGGTTTTCACAACTCTGCTTGGCAGGGCTCCATCTTTTCCTGCTTCCCTAGTTAAAGAGTGTCGTGTTCAAGGTTATTTTATTCCAAATAAAACTTGTCCCCAGTTTGAGCTGTCCCACATCCTCGCCGCAGCCAACCAAGAGGGCACCATCAATCCCAGCGTTAAGTTTTAAACAGTCCTGACCAGGGGTCATTCCCTGCAGGAGCGCACAGGAGCAGAGCTCCGGCAGTAAAGAGCCCAGAGGGCGGGCACATGCAACAAGCCCCGCCCCCTGCTCCCAGCAGCCCTCAGTCAGAGCAAGAAGCAGCCAGGTAAGCTGCAGAGTTCCCCCCCGGCCCAAAACAGTCCAGTGGACCAGCCCACCAAGGAAGTCCCGGGTCGCGACACAGAGACAGGCAAGGGCAAACCACCTGTGCTTGTCTGCTCTGACCTGAATGGCCACGGTGAGCCCTATCTGGACTGAGCTTGGAAGCCAAGCAGGGTAAGTAAGGCCTGTTTGGTACTTGACTGGGAGACCACCATGGAACTCCAGGGCCTCTACGCAAACCACCCCTGATCATCTCTGGCCTTGAAAAGCCCACCAGGGCTGCGACTCGACTTCTCCCCCCTCCCCACCGGCACTAGCGCCCTCCGGTTTAAATACATTAAAAAGGTACAGGTTCCCTTGCTCAAAAGCCAGTCGAATCTGACTCTAGGGTTGCGGACGGTGCTCATCTCCGTTTCAAAGCCGAAGAACCAGCGCTGTCCGAAGACGTTTACGTGGTCCTGTGGCCGGCATGACGAAACACCAAGGTGCACGGAACGCTGTTAAATACATTAACCGTCAGTTAACTGCAGAAGCCCGCAGGGCGTGGGCCGGAGTCTGCGGGTGAGCCACAGCCAGGATAGCCCCTCCCACCGGAAACCTGAGGAGCGTGCGGAGGAGCGCCGTGAGCGGCCATTCTTCTGCCCACCTTTGGTAAACAGTGAGATGCACTTTCCACCCAGAGAGAAATCGATAGAGTTGAGTCACAGAAATAACAACTGTGATAATTTTTAAATGATTTGGCAGTTTTTACATGCTGAAGTCAGAAACACTATTTGGGGAAGGCAGGGCACTTTCTCTCTGTCTCTCTCTCTCTGCCCACCTTTGGTAAACAGTGAGATGCACTTTCCACCCAGAGAGAAATCGATAGAGTTGAGTCACAGAAATAACAACCGTGATAATTTTTGAATGATCTGGCAGTTTTTACATGCTGAAGTCAGAAACACTATTTGGGGAAGGCAGGGCAGTCTTTCTCTGTCTCTCTCTCTGTCTCTCTCTCTCTCTCACACACACACACACACATGCACACGCAGTTTAAGGCCCCCATGAGATTCAGCATTCAGGATCAACAACAATCTCTGATCAGTTCGCAAGTCTGGCCCACCAGCTCTCCTGAACATGTTTGCTTCCTGCGCACTGCAGACTTTGAACCATACTAGGAATAAAGGGACATGCAGGCGCACAGGATCCCTGGCCAAGCAGAGGCCAGATGTTACTCTGGGGCTTCCCCTGGGTGGGAAAGGGGACCCACTGCGGCCCCCCTGGGGTTGCCCATACTGGCAACACGCCTAGGGCCCCTCCTGTCTGCTGGGAGAAAAAGGAACTATAAATGTTAATGAAGTAAGTATAGAGAGGTAAACACAGGAAATCTCTTGTGTTAATGGACATGGGGGAAGCGAAGTCCTGTTGTTAGACACATTCATCGGGTGAGCAACTTACTCATTATTGAAACCCAGGAAGGTGCAAAATGTAGTCAGGGTAAAGGTAAAGGTTTCTCTTGCTCAAAAGCCAGTCGAATCCGACTCTAGGGTTGCGGTGCTCATCTCTGTTTCAAAGCCGAAGACCCAGCGCTGTCCGAAGACGTTTCCATGGTCATGTGGCCATCATGACTAAACACCGAGGCGCACGGAATGCTGTTACCTTCCCACCAAAGTGGTACCTGTTTATCTACTTGCAATTTCTTGCTTTCGAACTGCTAGGTTGGCAGGAGCTGGGACCAGAGACGGGAGCACACTCCATCATGCGGCACACTCGGGTCTCGAATTACTGAACTACAGACCTTCCAGCCTGCAGTTCAGCGTCTTAACCACCTGAGCCACTGCAGCTCAATGTAGTAGTAGGCAGGCTTTTGAGTTGCACAAAGCACTACATCAAGTGGAATGCATTAGAAGTGGAGAGAAATCTGGAAGAAGCG